GGGCCGTGGGGTTCACTCTCATCATCCTCATGGTTTCCAAGCCATAAGCTCTTTCCTCCCCCGAGTTTACTAATCCTCCTCTCAACTCAAGTGATGCTTCACACCTCAGCAGAACTCCCTCCTGGGCCCCAGCCTCACCCTCCCAAGACCAGAGCAGGAGCTGGTCCCAAGCAAGCGAGCTCATCTCCGGGTGTCCTCCCGGGGCAGAGGCGGGCCCGCGCCTCTCCCGGAGAGCAGCACGTAGGCCCTCAGTCTTTGCTAACTGCTCCAGAAACCAAGGGAAGGAAGTCAAACCACTCTGACAGTACTTAACACTGAATGAGAGTTTGACATTATTGTCTGAACCCTGCAACAAGCAATTCTAAACCCCTGCCCCATGACACTATTGCTTTTGAGTCCCCACCAGGTGTCTGACACCCTGTTAAACACTAAGAGACGCTAGTGCTAATCTCTCCATGCCGCTCACCAGGAAGGTGTATCAGCCTCATTTTAGAGATAACGCAATCGGGCCTGAGGGGAGGCGGGAACCGGGAGGTCGCGGGGCCGGGAACCAGTTGGTGGTGCGGAAGCGGCAAACCCCAAGGCCTGCGTTCTTCCCTTCACGCTGCTGGTTCTTAAAGCGGGACTGGGGGTCTGGCAGGTCAGAACCTTTTTCTAAAGACACTGAGATGCTACCTGCCTTTCACTCACGTTCTCTCTGACATAAGTGGACTCGGCCAAAGGCTCATGATTTGCATGTGGGCTGTCTGCAGAAGCAGATGTTAGCACCCCACATTTCAGGAAATGTAAAACTAACTTATTTTTAATTTGGAAAACTGCTGATTTTCAGTTAAAAATGTGATTTATGTTAAAACATAATGTTTATAATTTTTACTCATTTTAAAAATGAGTAACAAATATTTCAAACTGTCCTCAGTTTTAATTTCTGAGACAATAACTATCAACACATATAATCCACATAAACAAAGGGCTTTTGGAGTCCCCTACAATGTTTAATTTCAGAGCACAAAAGGGTCTGAGATGCAGAGAAAGACAGATACTGTATGATTTCACTTATATGTGGATGAACAGTTGTAGATGCAAACAGCGAGCAGGTGGTTTCCAGAGAGGAGGGGGTGGAGGGAGGAGAGAAATAGGTGAGGGAGATTAAGAGGTATACACTTTCAGTTACGAAAGAAATGAGTCTCGGGGATGAAACGTACAGTGTGGGGAACACAGTCAGCAGTTACGCACTATCTCTGAGTGGTGACATATGGTAACAAGACTTACTGGGATGGTCAGTGTGAGATGTATAGAAACAGCAAATCACCATGTTGTGTAACAGGAACTAACATAGTGATGGAGGCCAATTACACCTCGAGAATACACAAATTCACAAAAAAGGGATCGGATCTGTGGCTACCAGCGGCGGGGGTGGGGGAGGGGGGCTGGAAGACGGCAGTCAAAAGGTACAAACTTTCAGTTATAAGACACATAAGAATCAGGGGTGCGATGGACCACGTGATAAGGATAATGAACGCTGCTGCAGGTTATGCATGAAAGCTGTTCAGAGAGCAGATCCTAAGAGCACCCATCACAAGGGAAACAATTTTTTTCTAAGTCTTTAATTTTGTACTTAGATGATGGGTGTTCACTAATCTTACTGTGACCATCACTTCCTGATATGTGTAAATGAAATCATTATCTATGTATTTTACATAGTGCTGGATGTCAATTATATCTCAATAAAACTCAAAGAGAAAATAGACATATAAATAAATTACATAATCACAGATAGACAGGCAGACAGACAGACAGACAGGAAACCACTGGCCTAATCAGCCACTGAAAACAAACGAAGGTAGGTTTGTTTCCTTCCCTATAAATTTTATCAAATCACCAGGCAGGTCAGGAGCCTCCACAAGAGAGACTGTGTCCACACAGTGAACCGAATCTATGGCCTGACGAACTCTGGCCTCTGTTCTAATATTTCCCTTTGCTGACTCTTCAATACAAAGTTAAACTTACCTTCGAAGATACTTAAACACATGATATAATTTAGAAATTATCTGCTCGCTGCCCAGGAAACATCTAAAAAGCCTACCTCCTATTTTTAAAAAGTAAAAAAACTCAAGAAAGTCAACAAGCTTACCAGAATGTGGCAATTCAGCAAATGACACCAACAGTCCACCCTGATCGGGTCGTTTCCCTGCTACACGGCATTGGCTTTGAACCACCATCCCCTCACATGTGTGATGCAAAACGATTTCGGTAGCTCATAAGCAAAGCACGATTAGACAGATGATGTGCCAGAGGAGAACGTGAGCCGGTCCCAGGGAGAAGGGTGTTAGGGTTACGTGATGGCTTTCTGAACTACCCATCTCAGCCTCATCGCCCTCGGCAACGTGCGCTAAAAGCGGCGTAATACTTGCACAAATCAAATTCAGTGCTTCAAAACTAAGGCTGTATTTTATAATATGTAACCTGCTCCTTAAAATAATTTTACATTTAGTACATGTGAAATGACACTGGCTATAAAGTAAGGTTTGCACTGCAGGAGATCAGAAACTAAAACCCAGGGGAGAATTCACATATGAGTATACACCAGGCCAGACTGGCGTTCACCTGACGTGAGTATATTCCCCTACTTAATGCCAACCACCGTTAAGATGGGTCCTATTTTTCCTATTCGGCGGGTGAAGACTCTGAGGTTCAGAGAGGTTAAGTTGCCTAAGGTCAGCCAGCTAATAAACAGTGGAGCCAATACCTTTCTGATCTCAAAGTCTCGTCTTCTCAAAACTTTTCATCTTCCTAGTATTACTTTTCAAAACTGACTGCTTTGAAATTCGAAGAGGATGCAAAGTTGAGCAGAAAAAAGAAAGCAAATTCCATGAGCAAAATGTTTAAAAATGCGATTGAACTTACATAATAGAAACACCTCCAATGTATTTGTGACACCCCTTAAATAGTTCCAAGTTTGTCTACAAAGGTTCACTTGAGAAGATGGAGCCGGAGGAAAAGGGAGGAACACTTGGTGTCCCCCAGTGTCTACCAGGCACAGCACATCTGGCCCACCCCACCTTCACCCCCACAACCAGGGTTCAGGACTCAGGTTCCACGTATTCATACATGTCCTCTGAAATGCCTGTCAAGAAATCCGCAGTCTTAAAACTAGGGAATGCTGAAGGAGATCAGCAATTCCCATCCAGGGGTCGGATTACAGGTGGTAGCTGGGGGAGGGGAGGCCATCTTCAAACTGTGTCCTCCGGGGAGGAGAGATGATGCTGGGGCAAGAAGTCTGCGGGGCACTGCTCTGAAAAGACCCCGTGTTTAATAAGAAACTGCCGAGGAACAAGAAAAGAACCATCCCAGGAAACTAGGTCACGTTCATTTCTGCCCTGGAAGCCACCCAGGCTGGCCCAAGGCCCCAGCACCTCAGAAATGGCCCTTCCCACCTCCCCGTCACACTGCGGGGTACTCTCTCCCAGGCAGCGCAGGTCAGGTGGCTGAGGCCCGTGTGGCTTCCACTGACCTCGGGGGTCCTCCTGAGAATCTCTAAGGGTGCCATACCTCTGAGGGCAGCTTTCCCGGAAGTCCAATGTGTCCTGTGCCCTGAGGTCCCCAGGAGGCCTTCCTGACCTCCACTTTCCAGCCTGAGCAAGGCTGAAGCTTCTGAGTCCCTGATCTCAATGCCTCTCCACTGGGATTCCCAAAAAGGCTCTTTCCTGATCCAACCCTTTTACTTCCCCGTAGTTTCAGTCCTTTCTGTTCCCATTCCCCAAGCCCTGGTCCAAAACGTCCTCACAGGCCTGGACCACAGGCTCACAATTCAGGTTCTGGCTCCCTAACCAGCACGCACTGTCGAGTCACTGCCACTGGCTCCCCAGTGAAGCCCAAATTCTTTAAAACAGAACACCAGAACTCCACCACCGGCCCTGCCCTGCAGCAAATTCAACGTCCCATGCACCCTTTAACAAACCATCCCCCAACCAGAAATGCCCTCGGCTCACAGCCCTGGCCGAGTCCTAGCCAAACGCCAAGCAGCCTCATCCACAGGGGCTGCCTCTGCCTCTGGACACCTGTCGCTTTGTACTTCCACATGCCGGGCATGTTTCCCCAAACTGAGTAGACGTTCACTAAGAACAAGCCCTGTGCCCTGCAGCTCTAAAACCACACTGTGCTAGCCAAGCTCAGGGCTGCACCCGTGATGGAAGATCAATACGCATTTCTGAACAGCACTCAGAATAATCTGTGCATTAATTTACTTCTCCTAGATCTAGGGCACAAACACCAACATTTATAACAGAAAGATATCTTGGGAGTGCTAGAACTTAAAACCTAAATCTGTTTGCTTATAAATTCTGTAGGATAAAATCCCAGCTCACAAAAAGGAAGACTCCAAATCTCTTATTAGAGGCCCAACACTTCCTGTGGATCACGGTTTACTGGGATTTTTCTACCGTTTGCCATTTAAGATCACACTAACATTCAACAGGTGGTAAAGTAAGTGTTACGGGAGAGCACGTTTTGCAGCTTACCAAGGGAAAATTAATAATAAATTTTCTAAAAGAAAGAGGAGGCACTACCACAAAAAACTTCCCTGGAAACCCAGTTCCAGTGCACTTTTACGTCGAAGAGAGAGGGAGAGAAACAGAGTCAGAAGTAATAAAGGGGAAAAATGCGTCAGTCCAACGTCCATCTCCTGGCAATGAGACCAGAGTTCCTTACAGGTGAGGCCCCCGGTTTTCTATGCAGCCTTAGCTCCAGCACAGTTCCTGGGACAGAAGAATTCAAAATTCAGTGAATAAGTGAATAAGTGTATAAGTCAAGAAGTAAATACAGGGAGTCACGGGAAAAAAAAAAAAAAAAGGAGATTCCAGGGCAGCTCACAAGACAAAATTTCAGGACCTCGTAATGAAAACGCTTTCCAAGAAGTTTAAAGGAAAAGCCTGCTAGATCAGCTCATCTAGTTACAGTTCTCACTGCCAGGCAGGCAGGCAGGCAGGACCCGGTCCCCTTACCTGAGGCACAGGCACTTTCTGCGGGGTGTTCTGGGGCGATGGGTGGAGCTGTGCCCAAGGCTGGTGGTGCGGGGGCGGGGGCGAAGACTGGTGGTGCAAGCCGGGGTGGGGCTGCATCGGAGGGCAGGCTGGCAACTGCTGGAAGGACGGCTGCTGGCCAGGATGCTGCTGGCCGGGCAGCAGCCGCTCCTGGATTGCCTGCGGGTCTGCAAGGCCAACGCCGGGACAGCCGTTGGGTCTCAGGTGCCCGGCCAGCTCCCGCGGTGCGGAGGACATGCTCATAAACGGACGAGACTGCTGCATGTTCCTGGGGCCCATATTCCTCTGTCCCATTCCCATGGCACCAGGGGGCTGGTGAGACGGCGGAGGGTGGGGCATATTTGGATAACTGCCGACTTCCATCGGGATCCCAGCACTTCCGGGCCTGACTTGCGGAGGCGGAGTACCTGCCGGGTTACTCATTGCTTTCATGGGTGACATGGGAGGTGGAGAGGCATAAGTTCCCTGAGGCTGTGAAGGATGCATAGTTTGTGTGTTCATTTGGTTAAGTGAGCCGCTGGGGTGGATGGGCTGCTGGTGCATTAGTCCTTGACCACTGCTCGATGGGAATCCCACAGCACTGGGGTACCTTGGTACGGACTGGTTCATTGGAGTATTACTTGTAAGGCCTAAATTCTGATTCATCCCTGTATTGTTAACTAATCCCTGATTTAGGTTACTGTAAGGATATCGAGAATACTGCCCTGAGTTGTTTATAGTAGGTGAGGGGACTGTCTGGCTCCGAGAACTAAAGTTAAGGGTTTGCGGCCTGACAGCGCCTTGTGGAGGAGGATTAGGGGAGAATCTGGGGCTGTGGGCAACGGATTCGCCGTGGAGAGCAGTTGGGGGGTGATGGTGGAACTGCTGGACGGAGTGGCGCAGGGACGGCGCCAGGCCGGGGCTCTGCGGGGGCACGTGCGACAAGTGGCCAGGTCCTGAGGTGGCGATGAAAGGGTTGCCCTGACTTAGGCCCTCCTGGCCTTGGGGGAACTGGCCCAGCCTCTGCTGCGGCTGGCCGTGCTGCTGCATGGAGAAATCCCCGCGCGCCAGGTAGCTACCCATCTGCTGCAGGTGCTGGGGGTGGCCCTGCGCCGGGGGCCCCGATGGCGCCGG